AACAAAGCTACTATGATTAGGGAGAAAAGGCAGGCAAAATATTGGCTTGGCGTATTAAAAAATTGCAATCTGAAAGGGCTATCAACAGCATTAAAACAAATGGTAAATTAACAAATGACCAAGCAGAAATAAATAATGCTTTTAAAATGTTTTATGAAAAACTTTATACATCCGAACATAAAGATTCAGGCCAACAGGAACATTTTCTAAGTTCATTAGTTTTCCCCACTATTTCAACTGATTCAAAAGGAAAACTAGACCATATCATAGGAACTGACGAGCTTTCAGAAGCCATAACCAACATGACGGGGGGAAAGGCGGCTGGTCCAGATGGGCTTCCTGTAGAAATCTATAAACAATTTAAAGATAAGCTACTACAACCACTTTTGGATATGCAGTTGGAGTCATACGAAAAAGAGGACCTACCACCACTCTGATGCTAAAACCAGGAAAGGACCCCACTGACTGTGCATCGTACAGACCAATCTCACTGCTTAATACAGATAGCAACATTTTATGCAAGACGTTGTCGAGACGCCTAAACAAACTACTGCCTGCCATGATTAAAGATGATCAAAATGGTTTTATTCAGGGAAGGCAAGCTTTTCATAATGTTAGAAGGGTACTAAATATTCTTTATGATAAAAGAGGGTCACCTAACATGGCACTGCTGTCCTTAGACGCAGAGAAGGCATTCGACCGAATTGAGTGGAAGTATTTGTTTGAAGTGTTGGAGAGGTTTGGAATAGGTGAAGGCTTTCTCAAATGGATCAGGACGATATATAAGAACCCAACAGCTGAAGTGGTGACAAATAATATTACTTCTACATCCTTCTCATTGTATAGATCTACACGTCAGGGCTGCCCCCTCTCCCCATTGCTGTTTGTGTTAGCAATGGAGCCATTTGCCATGGCTATTAGAAACCCTCCATCTATATCTGGGATCTCAGTAGGTGACTTGGATCATCGAATATCACTTTATGCGGACGATGTTGTTCTTTTTTTTAATCAAATCTTGAGTATTCTGTACCATCTCTGTTAGAACTAATTACGACTTACAAAATAAATATGCATAAATCCTCAATACTTTATCTAAATGAACAAGAGAGGCAGCAACCTAGAATAAAAACTCCCGTTTCAGCTCATAGGGAAGGATTCACCTATTTAGGAATAAAAATCACACCTGAAATGAATGATCTGGTTCCAGCCAACTATAACCCTGTTGTAGACTCTGTGGTAGAATCGCTTAACAGGTGGACTTTAATGCCAATCTCCTTAATTGGTCGTGTTAACATCTTAAAAATGAATACATTACCCAAATTGCTCTATTTGTTTCAATCAATCCCCTTACCCCCACCCGAGTCATTTTTTCAAAAATGTAAGAAAATATTTGCCAACTTTATCTGGAATAATATACGCTCTCGGCTCCGTTTTACCCTACTTGAAAAAAAACCTTTCTAAGAAATACCATACACATCTGGCATGAGGTCCAAAGATATATAGGGGACACCCCCCCACTGTCAGGTTTCACCCCCATATGGGGCAATAGTCAATTTATACCTGGTAGAGAAGATGCTGGTTTTAAGACTTGGGCGAACAAGGGATTAAGCAGGATTACCGATTTGTACAATGATGGAAAATTAATGTCATTTACTAAATTACAAGAAAAGTATGATATTCCTTCTAAGCACTTCTTTACGTTTTTACAAATAAGACATGTTATCTCTGTATCTCAAAACTGCTCACTTACTCAGCCACCTCTCTCAATGTTGGAAGACATTACAGTTAAACACGTGGTTGGTAGAGGCCAGCTATCGCTTTTCTATAAACATTTTGTAGACAAGTCACCTGAATCTTCAGAATATACACTTAGGCTGCAGCCACACGAGGACAAAAACGGCCGTTTGCGTTACTGTTTAGTGTCATATAGACCATTCGGCCACAGGAGGACGACCGCATACGGCACTAAACGACTGAGGAAACGATAACGGGTCCCAAGGTGGATAGAACGGCATACGCAACGCTCTGGGGGGTCAAACAGCTCCGTGTGTGCGCCCTATACGATCATTTTGTGATAATGATTGCGCAATAGCCCCGCCTCTCCCCACCTCTGCTGCTCACCTCCGCGTACCCCGCGCCATTGCTGATGTGTTTCGCCACCAACAACAACAACAATGGCGGATCGCAGAGTTGCTATCGTGCTCCGGACGCTACTGACCATGCTACAGTTCTTTGTGCAACATCTACAGCAGACTTACACATCCGGGGGGGATCTTACTCGCTGCTTTTGTGGATATGTACTGCAGCTTCAGCGATCATTTTCTGATAATGATTGCGCAATAGCCCCGCCTCTCTCCACCTCTGCTGCTCACCCCCGCGTCAAAGTAAACTGCACACTGAATTCAGATTATTTATCTTTCTCTCGATATGGACATAAACGCGAGTGAAGTCTAATCTGACAGGACGGAGACACCTCTCAAACTACCTAGTTATAAATATGTTTATTTTTACTGTCGGCCGGGTCACTCATTAGTGGATCAGCTGCTGCATGAAACAGACACTGGCGCTGTCCGAAGAGAGGGAGGAAAAAGAGAGGCTCCGTGTATTTTATTATTATATTATATAGAGTCGTTATTCATTTGTTTTAAAGCTCAATAAATAACAAAGAAGACATTTGACCGGCACTTTTATAATTTTGTCGGAAGATTTAAACTTTAATACACATTGACTGGCAACAAACCCTGCCCGGTTCCCTCGGCCCCCACCGCGGAGAATAAATAGAAGGGCAACCATGACAACCATGCTTCTTCGCTGCTTTGGTGGAGGATGTTACAGCGCCACGTACAGGCTCCTGCATATGTACTGCAGCTTCTCCAGCGGTTGGAGCTAAACGGAGCGGTCTCGTGTGGGCAGACACTATCCAGATAACTATTGCGTGTGGACGGAAGCTTGTTTGCGATTGCGTTTGCGTTAATCCTATGCGTTTAGCCGTTTTCGTCCTCGTGTGGCCGGGGTCTTAAAAGCTGGAGGCTTGATTGACAAGAGGAAATCTCTGAAAACTAATGGTCTGAAGTGTGCCTGAAGGCTCAAACACAAACAATCAACACACGGCTTAAGTTGATACTTAAGCCTGTTATATATGTTCTTGGATTTTAAGAACATATATAACGCCATCAAAACTACATCACTTTAATCCCAATACCCCAGACACCTGCTTTAAATGTAACGATGCTAAAGGATCACTCTTTCACTGTTTGTGGGAATGTAATGTGGTCAATCGTTTTTGGAAGGAGGCTCTTAATACGATTAACCAGATAACAAAACTGAAAATCCCTTGTCAGCCAAAGTTGTGCATCCTGGGTATTTATCCGAAATACTTTGTTTCTAAGAAGAGTGAGCGTGCACTTATAGACTTGTGTCTTTTACAAGCTAAGAGGGCAATAGCTATAGAATGGAAACATGTGAACAAACCTAGTATGAATAAATATATTAAGGATCTGTCAGCATGTGTCGCTTTAGAAAAACTAACATACATTAATTACTAAAGGAAAGCTGGCAGTTTTCGAAAATATCTGGGGGAGCTTCATGGAGTTTCTGAAAAATAATGTTGGTAATGATTAATAACACCAAAGACCGGGGCGGGGAAGGGGGCAACGGGAATATGATTCTAAAGTGTAGTAGCCCACATCATATTCTTTCAGATTTTTGTCCTGTATCATCTGTATACTGACCTGTGTTTATTTGCATGCCTATTCATTTGATTTTACACTGTATCTGCCACAGACTGACCATTTATGTATGTGTAATGTTCCTTATTTTATTTTATGTATGTGTAATGTTCGTTATTGTATGTATGTGTAACGTCCGTTACAGCTTACGGCTGGTAGAACCCCAGAGCAGTATCAAAACTGCCCCTGGAGGGGAAACCCCGTGTCGTTGGGAGACCCCTTGGTAATCAGGGCAGCTTCATGACCCACAATCCCTAACCCCCCATTTTGATCCCTTTATACCAATTTAAAATATGCAAATGTCATATCAAACACAGCCAGAGTCAAATATTAATATCACAGCAGTGACATTACCACATCAGCAGAGCTTATATCATATTTCAACATCAATGAAAACCACATCAACCACAGTGACCAATGTGAAACTATAGTTTAAAGTGGACCTATCATGCTATATTTGAAAAATATATTGTAGGGCCATACCTATACAAAACATGTCTGTGACGTTTTTTTTTTCAAAATACCAAAGAGATCACCCATTGTAGCCATGCCTCATACTGCTCAAACCCCTCCTTTGAAGCCCTGTTAGAGAAACGCAGATCTTGGGTCCTTAGAGAAGAGGAGGCGGAGCTAATGCCTGATCAGAATTCTACCGGAGAGAAAGTAAAATTCGGTTGTGATAAAACGCCATCTTGTTTAAACCACGTCAAGGATTATTTCCGAAATAGTATGGAGCTCAAATGCTTTTTCTCTTGCATGTTTATCACAAAGTGAGTTCTTTTTTTATTTCCTACTTTTTAAACACATGTGCTCTCCAGTACAGGTTAGCTCTGAGTGTTAGCGAGGCTTGCTAATGTAAACAAAGACGAGATTACGTCCAAAACACGTCAGGCATTGTTTCTGATAGCAACTTTCTGTGGCTCTGCCGACGTCTCAGCGGATGGAAATCGTCACAGCGGATGGAAATCTGTATCCGCTCGTTGTGCACCCGTTTTTAAAAGATTTTGGTACAGAGGAAAGGGTTTTATTTTCTGACGCTGCGTGAGTTCCCCGACGCACCGGGGACACGTATTTATGTATAAAAGACATCACAAAGTGCATTTTGCATGATAGGTCCCCTTTAAGCATGCAGCTTATTGCCTGCATACCACCCTTTGTAATAAAGATAAGATGGTCAGTAAAAGTACAGTTCTGATTAAAATTGTAATGGCAAAGTTTGACGCAATGGAATCTCAATGAATGATTTGTGTGTCCCCCTCTCACTCTCAACAGTTACTAGAGATGCTTCTCTTTTGTTTCCTGCTCTATCTGTACAAGATGAGGAATGTGAAGCACATCGTCATTGTGATGCTGCTGGTGGCTCTGCTAGGTAAGAACCCATGGCAGCTGTCTGATTGAGAGCAGAGGTTAGGGATTAAACATATTGAGGAAGTCATTGGTTGCTCCGTTGCCTGGCTACTAAAACTGGACTCATGCTCTGTAATCATCTCTGTTAAAGGGATAGTTTGTATAGTTTAAAGGAAGGGAGCACAAGCAAAGAAGCTCAGTGATGTTCTGTTGTAAACTGCGGCAGCAGCAAAACATATTTTAGTCAATGAAAAAGGCCCACATAAAAAAATCTATATCACTAGTATCATCGCTAAATTTGGAATATTTTCACCGATTCACCCTGCTTTCTGAAGGGGAACCGAAGTTGTTATCCATGTTCTATTCACCAGATTGAAAAATCCAACAATGTCAACTCTAACTATACAGGTGCCGTCATCCGAGAAATTATAAAAATATTCTTATTGTAGTATACACTTCAATGATATATATATATATTTTAAGGTGCCTTGCTTTGAGTTGGATAAAATATGTTTTGCTGCTGTGATAATAAAGTTATCCATTATTCGGCAGCTTCTCTGACAGTTATCTCGGTCAAAGCGGTGTCAGGGATGATCGCAGAGTCAATAACAGGCCAGCTGCAGCTCATCTACCCCATCTTCTACATCATGGGTGTCATCATGATTGTCTCCTGTGCCTTCCAGATCAAGTAAGTCCTGGTTTTGTCTCTCTTCCTCTGTGAACCTTCTTTTTCTCTTTCAGCCACTATTTTGTTGTTGAAATTCCTGATGTTTGTCACAGGCTGGATGCAATTTAGACATATTAGTTCAAGCAGAATCTGAGGGAAATAATTATATTTGAGATGGTGATATTGGCATCTAAAGTGATATGACGGATGAATACTTGTTTCTATAACAAATGTCTTTATTTTCGCTGCATCTCCCAAACTTATTTTTGTCCTCTTTCTACAGATTTCTCAATCAGGCAATGAAAATGTTTGATGCCACAGAGGTGGTTCCTATCAACTTTGTGTTTTTCACCACAAGTGCCATTGTTGCAGGTATATCAACAGTTTCACCCATTTAATGAAAGTGTGTATTTTTCCAATTTAAAGTGGACCTATCATGCTATATTTGACAAATATATTGTAGGGCCATACCTATATAAAACATGTCTGTGAAGTTTTCTTTTCAAAATACCATGCATCATTTCGCTCTATTTGCTCTTTTCCAGCCCTGTTTTTGCAAGGGCTGATTCTGTGACGTAGCTTTAATCAGAGTTGGGTGTAATTACAGTAACGCGTTACAAAGTAACGCGTTACTGTAATAGTGTAACGCGCTACTTTTATAATTCAGTAATCACACTACAGTTACTAACATTGCCCCGACACTTACTTACTAAAATCAGTCATAATCAAACCTCAACAAACACCTGCAAAGAACACATGCTAAGGTGAAGCTAACGCACAGCTATTTGTTGTTTGTTTATATCACGTATCTGTTCTTTTCCTCTGTTTTCCGGTTGTTGCCTGTTTTGAATGACGAATACACACTACCGCCGCCTGCTGGTAAGGAGAGTTATTGCCACTCACGCATGCGCAGTTCGTACATGCTCGGCTGAAGTCTTGGCGGTGTGTTCCAGTGCAACACATGGCCAACACGCAGGAGAACACGCTGACGCAACAGCGTGAGCAGAGATATACTGCGCAAAATACAGATAGCAGGAGACAGAGGACAGCCATGGTCAGATAGGAAAACATTCAGGAGCTATCTGGATCAGTCTTATGCGACAACTGAACTAAAGAGAACATTTTAAACTTTAGCAGTCTGCGTGATCTGCCTGTAGGGAGGGGCGGGCCGGCCCTGAGAGTAAAGTAACGAGTAAAGTAACGAGTAAAGTAACGAGTTACTTTATGTAGAGAGTAACGAAGTAGTGTAATATATTACTTTTTTTTAGTAATGACCCCATCTCTGGCTTTAATGCAAATGAGCTGCAGCTGACCACGGAGAGGGGAGCATGCTCTGATCAGCTGCTGGGCTCTCAGAAGAGGGGGAGGAAAAGAGAGGCTCCGTCCTCCGAGTTGTATTCTTATATGATTATATAGTCATTATGCATTTGTTTTAAAGCTCAATCAATAACAAAGAAGACCTTTGACCGGCACTTTTCTAATTTTGTCCGGAAGATTTAAACTTTAACGGACATGTTGACCTGCGAAAAAAAATCTAACTGAAACTCTGCCGCACAGTCCCCTCGTGCCTTGGAAGAGGCGGAGAGGTGGGTGTTTGTCATCTGCTGGTGGCAAACTGGAGAGATTTACAGCAGCAGGAGCAAACGCTTGCCTCGGGGAGGGAGAAAAAGAGCCAGAGCGTCCACAGCGGAGAATAAACAGAAGGGCAACCATGGCAACCATGTACGGGAAGTCTTCTTCGCTGCTTTTGTGGAAGACTACAGCGCCACTTACAGGCCTGGCATATGTACTACAGCGTCTCCAGCGCTTTTGAGCGCCAATGGCCGTGGCCCAACCCCCCATTCCCCTGATAGGTGGAGAGTTGGCCATATAGGCGGAGCACCCCTTTTCTGACGTCTGTATCAGCTCCGTTGCAGCCCCGTTTTTAGAGATTTGGGTATGGAGGAAAAGAGAGAGGGTTGTGTTTTCGGACACTTGGTGAGTTCCCTGACACACCGGGGACACATATTCATGTATAAAAGATGTACACAAGTGCATTTTGCATGATAGGTCCCCTTTAAGTGAAAGACAAGCTCGTTTTTGTCAACGAATCTTATGAGATTCAAAAACTAACAAAGAATCAGTACAATACTGGTATTCTGCATTCTGTAACGTATCCTGTGACTCAGAGCTTCATTGTTGTTCAAACAGGTGACATGTTCCTTTATAGCCAGTGTAGTTTATTTTTGCGTTAAGTTCATGTATTGTTCTGCCACAAATACGAGCAAAATATATTTCTATTATATATATGTAATATTTTGCCCAACAAATAAAACAAAGTCAAGATGGTGATTTATACCTGTAGATGTGAATCACTTACTCATTTTTTGGCAAAGGCCCCGCAGTATTTATAGCATGAGTAGTGTCAGGTCACTTATATTATCTAATCGATTATGGTGTTCTTTGTATACCAAGACAACAATTTTCAAAAGCATTTTCGTCTTGAAGGAACACCCTACACTTTATGATTTAAAGCAATTGTTAAAATTGACCTTGCAATCATAAACTAATTACCATGTTTGGTATTCTTCAAGTGGAAACATTGCCCAACTGCTGTTGCCATGAGATCATTTCCAGTGAAGCCTCAGTGTCATAGCTAAATACAGTGCATCCGGAAAGTATTCATACCCCTTAACTTTGTTCACATTTTGTTATGTTACAGCAGGGGTGGGGAACCTTTTTCCTCTCAAGGGCCATTTCAATTTTTTCAACATCCTCCGAGGGCCGTACAAATTATTGACTTCTGCTTAAAAATACTAAAATCACGGCCCATTCATTTCGCCTTTCTTTCATGCTGTGCAAAGAAAAAGCAACCTCTCAATCCAGATATTTTACCATGCATGCATGCACGTGCACGGTGTGGCATGACCACCAAAACAGAAAGATATGGACACAAGATGTGTGCAAATGTATTTAGTTTCCTATCCATGTGAACATGATTTAAGTGTGGGGGGGGGGGGACCTAACCTCCTCTAGGGGGGTCCGGGGGCATGCTCCCACGGGAATATTTGTTTTTAAAAGTTGAAGTTAAAAGCATCAATCTGGTGCACTTTGAGAGCAAAATTAGGAGATACATCTCTCAACACCCATATGAAACAGAACTGTAAGCAGATGTTCTTATTCTTTATGGATATTTTACAAATCACTCCCCCTTTAAACTGTATTCTTGTTTATTAATAACAAAAAAAAATTACTGTCATAAAGTATGTTATACCTGTTTTCCTTATTCTCTTGTTTTTTTACAATAACTATAATGATCATATCAAGATGTGCCTTTACTTCACTGGTTGTAGAAAAAGCTTCTTATATTCGTTAGCATAGCTAGCTAACCAGATGCTAATAACAACAAAGTTATTGACTGTATAATCAGTATGACAGATGAGCAGATCGCCACTGGGCTTTCAACTAAAGACACAGCCACGCAAAAACTGCAGCATGTGTACGGCTCCTTATGGGTACTGCAATTTTTGGAAGTGCCGGAGCAACGTTCTGGTGCTCTCGTCAGCATTACACCCCTGTCAGTGTCAGACGAGACATATAACACGTGATGACACGTTCGGCTCGTGTTGTGTTCAAGGACCCTGACCATGGCCAGGAAAAACAGGCACTCGCTTGTTTAATTTGTTTGCGGTCTAGATTTCCTTAATTTTTTAATTTTTTGCGCGTGTTTATAAATTACCTCGAGGGCAGGGGCGGATCTAGACAAATATTCATGGGGTGGCAAGAGGGTGACAGGAGAATTTCAGGGGTGGCAGAAGATATGCTGATTTAATCGCAGTCATATCGTAGTCATATCAACAATGTCATATCAACAATGTTAACTTGGAAAGCCACAATATTGATATTTTAACTCAATAACATAGGTGACATTATTGTGGCACATCAGTAAAGCCTTACATATAAATATATAAGGTGGCAGACATAATTTAATGAATTTTAACTGAACAATAACTGAATTAGTTTGTCTCACTCTTAGACCAGCAGGGTAGCAAGGTACCACATCTACAGTATGCACTGCTGCAATAAGTACATGAATTAACTGTCTCATCGATGTTTGTCTGTATGAATATGATAATATTAACAATCATATCATTCCTATTAGCTGTCAATCACTGTTATGATTCACATATTCAGTGTTATTATTAAATAAACTATATTTTTTGGAGGAGTTAATGATGAATGTTCCTCAAGATGCTTGCTCACCCTCCTTCAAATTTGAAAGACAAGTAATTACTATCATATATCAAAATAATCAAAAGAACAGTTCAGTGCCCCACAACTTCATTGCAAACAGTTACAACCTTGACTTTACATCAGAAAGAACAAACATTAAAGAAGTGACTAACTGCATCAGTTAGGGTTAAAAAACGTGTATTCAGCTAAAACATAAACATCGCTGCATTTATTATCCAGTGGAAGGTCCTTACCTACTGGCCTAGTTAAATCAAAGTGGTTACTTTCTTTTGGCTGGGCAGTGAAGTTTTACACACCGTCTGATTTTACTTTCTCAGGACTTGAAACAGTTTTTGGGGGCAGAACCCCACAAAGAAGACAAATATTATACACACGTAAGGTCATCATCTTAACAGTTTGTTATGCTCATCGAGTCATCCGTGAGCAGAGCATCAAGTTGGCATGCCTATTACAGCTGAATGTGGCGATTACCATCTTAATCAGCAAAACGCCTCACAAACTTATTAAGATCTAAAGCTATGGTGCGTTTTGATTCAATGCTGAGTACAGCCAAACTTGACAGGCTCTTCTCTGTCATTGTAGACCGCAAACAGTGGCGGGGCCAGAGTATTTGTGTTGGGTAATCTATGGTAGGGCTAACCCATACAGCGGTGGGGCTCAAGTCAGTATTTGCAATGTAATTACATACCCGCTCCCCTTGACAGTGAAACGCCACTCGTGAGGGTTAGATTATTTCCCTGTCTCAATCCAAATTGAACTGTATGAAATAAAAAGGCACATTTGTCTTGTAGTAAATAAAAAAGGCGACCTGGAGCCAATCCTGCAATTTCCCCACAGGTGAAAGAGTTGACATGCTGAAAACCCAACTGGGGGATTCTCCCCCAGGAGATTTTTTTAAATACTAACATAAAATACACATTCTGGTACTCTCTTGAGAATAAAAATAAATACATCTATTACTACACGACATATTTAAAAAAAAATGAATGCCATTTTAGTTTTTTGTTATGCTACTTTGTTCTGAAAGCTGAACCTGCTGCTCCTCACAGAGAGAAGAGGAAGAGGCTGTGTGAATTACTTTACATTGTGGATAAGGGTGGATAGCCCCCATTGTTCTGTGTGTCAAAATGAAAGACAGC